AATAATATATAACCAACCTTCAATGAGGTAAGGACAAACTAAAATAAAACTTTAATTGTGCATGGACTACAATTTTAGAAAAATACAAACCCAATTTTTTTCTAAAAGAATTAGCGAAAATCAGATTTTTAGCACGAAGCAAGAACAAGTTGAATATCCAAATATTAAGAGGGCTACAATTCCGTTTAAGCTAACTGGTCCTTCAGGTGGAAACACACCTGTGTAAACMTTGTTTCCTGCTTCCAAATCTGGCAGGAAAGCAGACGGCAGCATCTTCAGGCCGGCCTCTTCCTCCTGCCGTTCAGAACAAAGTTACTCAGATTTGATAAAAAGTCTCCCAAAGTGAACAAAAAAGAATATTTCCATCTCCACTCACTGCCTCAACACCCTTCTTCAACTTCTCCTTTCCTTCAGTCTTTTTTGATTTGCTGCTGTAGTTTCTGCTGATGGGCTTTTCTTCATTTTCATCAATTTCTGTCTTCAACTAGAAAACATCACATGCACCCAAAATACATCACCACCTAGAAAATAAGTAGTGTCTCATACTTTGAAATTRTACCTGCTCGGGAGTCTTTTCTTCAAAGATGAGGGAAGATCCTCCGTCCTCTTCGCTTGGATATTCTGGGAACGCTCCTGTAGCGTTACTGTAAAATACCACAAAGAAAACGTCACTTATTGTGTAAATATTTATCTAAACCCTGAAAATTCTTCAATCATTGCAACCTCTCACCGGCATTCAAAGAACCACTGTTGAATCTGACTTTTCAGGGTCAGGCTCATGTCATAAGCCTCCATTTCTCTCAGCTCGTTGACAACTAATTGCACAGATTTTTGGTAAGCTTCCTCGTACTCTTTTTGTTTGATGCGAGTGTCTGCTTCAGCAGCTAGGACAGCGATCTCRTCTGGGCAAGGCTCCAGATATTTTGAATCCATAACCTAGTAAAAACGACATAAATGAAGTTTTGCACTTTCTTTTTTCTTTTAAAGCTTTTTTTATAGATCATTTCTCTCACCATTCCCAGAAAAATCCTCTCCTCATGTTGTGTCTTCCTCCTCTGAATGTAGCTCCTCCAAGCCTGCAAAAGAAATTTAACCAAAACTTCACAACATAACCCCAACAAAGTCAAATCAAATTTCATCAGAAATGTAATCATTAGTGTAACTAATATGTACTAATATATATGTATA